AAGGGACAAAACAGCAGCAGAATCACAGAACCCAAGAATGGACTAACAGGTACCAAAGGGAAAGAGACTGGGGAGAATGGGTGGGAAGGGAGGGAAAAGGGTGGGGAAGAAGAAAGGGGGTATTATGATTAACATGTGTAATGTGGGGGGTGGGGGAAAGGGAAGGGCTGTGCAACACAGAGAAGGCAAGTAGTGATTCTACAAAATCTTACTATGCTGATGGACAGTGACTGTAATGGGGTTTGTAGGGGGGACTTCGGGTAGGGGAGAGTCTAGTAAACATAATGTTCTTCATGTAATTGTAGATTAATGATGACAAAACAAAAAAATAATAATTAAAAAAAATTTCCATAAATGGGAATACCTTATCAAAGTGAACACAGAATTTTGACCAATCCAAACAAGTGCACCTTATCAAACAGCTTTTATTTTCTATTCTCACTTCAAACCATGGACTTCCCACAAATCCACATTTAATGTGTTCTCCCACCTTTCTCCAGACCTTGCATGCAGAGCTTTCCTGGGGTAAACACTTTCCTATTCCTTCTGAAATAGGACCCCCAGACTCTCCATGTGCCCACCTGGCTGCATTTTCACCCTACAACTTAGAAACAGGTAGTATTTTGGCAATTTCTGCTTAGCCTGTGTGCTTTCTGCCTCCTTCCCTGGAAACTGATCACTAGATCAATCAATAACTGAGCCTGTCTGATTTGTGCTGACGTTGGAGACCCTGTCTGCTGTGGGTGCATCACATGCACAGAATCAGTATTCATGGAGCCCACAGGAAACACTAGGTAGTAGGAATCCTACAGAAAACCCTTCCATATAATTCATGCTTGGATAGAAGACTATACCATTTGGAAAATATGTTTTAATATTGAAAATAAGGAGAAAAATGGTGTTTCTGCAGAGAACTGGGTCTTGCTGACATTGGCAGATGGAGAAGGTGTGGTATGAAATCCACTGTTGTCAATTATGGTTAATTATGGTTAACACATGGCACAAACTGATGTTTACCAATAACTCAGGTGGTTGGGAGTAGATGGAAAGAGCAAATCCTTCTTAACAGAGAGCAAACATTTTAGTAAAGGACTATGTCCAGACACTCATGGATTAAAATAATGCCGCAGGAAACAAATGTCCCTCATTTATTAAAACCAACACAGATGTGGAATGTAAAACAAGGAACAAACAAAATCCAAAGGAAAAAATGCCAAGACACTTTCAGAAAAGCAAAGGTAACCAGTGGAGAGAGACAAGGTGACATTGCTTTCTGGAAGCTTCCCTTCCATGTCTCCTACTTGTAGGATATTATATCCTGTCCTGATCATACATATTTGGATGACTAAAACTTCCACAATTTTCCAGAAGGACTGGGGAGGTCACAGACCATGTCACATTTGCTTTCTGTCCATTTCCGACCACATGGACGGGCCTGAGGGATTCTCAAGGGTGACCATGGGATCACAAACAGCTCCAAGGAGGAGCAGATCTTTCTGAGGAAATCTGAGGTGAGGTGCAAATGTTCCTCTCCTGCTTGTGTTCAGGGTTTATCTACCCTTTGGCTGGGCTCTTCGCTACTTCAGACTGGATCCAAATAACATGGCCCTGCCTGGGACAACGGCAGCCCTCCCCTGGGTCACACTAGACAGGCGCCTTTGCAGGACACGGTGAAATGCACACCCTGGGTAACTTTTAATAGAGAATACCTATCCCCTCTTGGTCTGTGTCTGGGAGAGGACTTCCGTAACAACAATTTGCATGTTTTCTTCCTTATCTATACATTCCATTTCTGTTACTGCACCCACTATGGCCATTTCCCATTTCCTTCCCGTGTCTCACATATGACCACCGAGATTCTTACGTCCTTGTGCACACACCTGGACCTGTGCACCCCGCCTCCTCCAGCCCTGCTTCATGGTCCACCTGAGAAGAACACCTTTCCCCTTGTACTGAAGAGGAACTCCCGTGGGTGTCACTGAATGCCTCCTGGGCACAGCTCTGAGTCCAGGTCCTCAGCAGGGACTTTGGAGTCTCCTCCCACCCAGAAATGTCCACACTATGTAACACTGACCTTAATTTACCCAAGAAACAAAAACCACCCCCGGG